AGTCTCTCCAAGACTTTTATCATAAAGGGATGTTGAATTTTGTCAAATACTTTTTCAGCATCTAATGAAATGATCATATGGTTTTTTTCTTTCAGCTTATTTATATGATGGATTACATTGATAGATTTTCGTATGTTGAACCAGCCCTGCATCTCTGGGATGAAGCCTACTTGATCATAATGGATAATTTTTCTAATGTGTTCTTGGATTCGGTTTGCCAGTATTTTGTTGAGGATTTTTGCGTCGATGTTCATGAGTGAGATTGGCCTGTAATTCTCTTTCTTGGTTGAGTCTTTGTGTGGTTTTGGTATCAGAGTGACTGTAGCTTCATAAAAGGAATTTGGCAATGACTCTTCTGCTTCTATATTGTGAAATACATTAAGGAGTATAGGTATTAGGTCTTCTTGGAAGTTCTGGTAGAATTTCGCATTGAAACCATCAGGTCCTGGGCTTTTTTTGGTAGGGAGGTTTTTGATAACAGCTTCTAGTTCTTCGTGACTAACAGGTCTATTTAGGTTGTTCACCTGGTCCTGGTTTAACTTTGGTATATGGTATTTATCTAAAAACGTGTCCATTTCTTTTACATTTTCCAGTTTTGTGCCATACAGGCCTTTGTAGTAAGATCTAATGATTCTTTGAATTTCCTCTGTGTCTGTGGTTATGTCCCCCTTTTCATTTCTGATCTTATTAATTTGCATATTCACTCTCTGGCGTTTTATTAGTTTGGATAGAGGTTTATCAATCTTGTTGATTTTCTCCAGGAACCAGCTTTTTGTTTCATTGATTCTTTGGATTGTTTTCTGTGTTTCTATTTTGTTGATTTCAGCCCTCAGTTTGATTATTTCCAGTCTTCTACTCCTCCTAGGTGAGTCTGCTTCTTTTTTTTCTAGAGCTTTCAGATGGGCTGTTAAGTCTCCAATGTGTGCCTTCTCTGTTTTCTTTAAGTGGGCACTTAGTGCTATGAACTTTCCTCTCAGGACTGCTTTCATAGTGTCCCATAAGTTTGAGTAGGTTGTTTCTTTATTTTCATTGAATTCAAGGAAGACTTTAATTTCTTTCTTTATTTCTTCCTTGATCCAGGTGTGGTTCAGTAGTTGACTGTTCAGTTTCCATGAGTTTGTAGGCTTTCTGGGGGTAGGGTTGTTGTTGAATTCTAACTTTAATCCATGGTGATCTGATAAGATACAGGTGGTTACTAATATGTTTTTGTACCTGTGGAAGTTTGCTTTGTTACCGAGTATGTGGTCAATTTTCGAGAAGGTTCCATGAGCTGCAGAGAAGAAGGTATATTCTTTCCGATTTGGGTGGAATATTCTATAGATGTCTGTCAAGTCCAATTGATTCATTACCTCCATTAATTCTCTTAGTTCTCTGTTAGGTTTCTGTCTGATTGACCTGTCCATTGGTGAGAGAGGAGTGTTGAAGTCTCCCACTATTAGTGTGTGCGGTTTGATGGCTGCCTTGAGTTTTAGTAATGTTTCTTTTACGTATGTGGGTGCTTTTATATTAGGGGCGTAGATATTCAGGATTGAGACTTCCTCTTGATGAATTGATCCTGTTATGAGTATAAAATGTCCCTCTCCATCTCTTCTGATTGATTTAAGTTTGAAGTCAAGTTTGTTAGAAATTAGTATGGCCACACCTGCTTGTTTCTTAGGTCCATTTGCTTGATAAGCCTTTTCCCAGCCCTTTACTCTGAGTAGGTGCCTGTCTCTGTGTTTGAGGTGTGTTTCTTGTAAACAGCAGAATGTTGGATCCTGATTTCGTATCCAATCTCTTAGCCTGTGCCTTTTTATAGGTGAGTTGAGCCCATTGACATTAAGTGATATTAATGACCAGGGGATGTTAACTCCGGTCACTTCTTTAGTAGTAGAGTTCGTGTGCGTCCCTTCTTTGAGTTGCGCTGGTGACGGGTCTCTAGATGTCTGAGTTATTGTGGTCATTGTTGGACTCCTTGGTTAGAGATTTTCCTTCTATTACTTTCTGTAAGGCTGGGTTTGTGGCTACGTATTGTTTAAATTTGTTTTTATCCTGGAAAATTTTGTTTTCTCCATTTATGGTGAATGAAAGCTTGGCTGGGTATAGTAGTCTGGGCTTGCATCCATGGTCTCTTAGTTTTTGCAGTACATCTATCCAGGACCTTCTGGCTTTCATGGTTTCCATAGAGAAGTCAGGTGTAAGTCTGATAGGTTTACCTTTGTAAGTAACTTGGCCTTTTTCCTTTGCGGCTCTTAATATTCTTTCTTTATTCTGTATGTTTTGTGTTTTGATTATTATATGGCGGGGGGGTTTTTTTTTTTTTTTGATCCAGCCTATTCGGTGTTCTGTATGCTTCTTGAACCTTCATAGGTACATCTTTCTTTAGGTTGGGAAAGTTTTCTTCTATAATTTTATTAAATATATTTTCTGGGCCGTTGAGTTGCACCTCTTCTCCTTCTTCTACTCCAATTATTCTTAGGTTTGGTCTTTTTATTGTGTCCCATATTTCCTGAATGTTTTGTGATGAGAATTTGTTGGTTTTGCTGTTTTCTTTGATCAGTGTGTTTATTTTCTCTATGGTATCTTCAGTGTCTGATATTCTTTCTTCTATCTCTTGTATTCTGTTGGTAGTACTTGTCTCTGTAGTTCCTGTTCGTTTACCCAGATTTTCCATCTCCAATCTTCCCTCAGTTTGTGTTTTCTTCATTACTTCCATTTCATTCTTCAGGTCTTGAACCGCTTCCCTTACCTGTCTGATTGCTTTTTCTTGTTTCTCTTGGTTTTCTTGGGTATCTTTGAGCCATTTATTCATTTCCTCCACCTTTTTGTTTGTAATCTCTGTTTATGGCAGTTTTTCACCTCCTGTTTAAGGTCTTCTATTATTTTTATATAATTCATTCTTGAGTCAATTTCTTCTAATTCTTCTGGAGTAGGGTGTACAATTCTTCTTATTTCGGGATCCCTGGATTCTGGTGATGTCATGTTGCCTTTCAGGTTGTTGGAGGAAGTCTTGCATTGGCGCCTTCCCATCTCGTCCTTCAAATGGAGCCAGGAGAGGCCTGGTGTCTTGGTCCAGTCTTTGCTGTGACTGAGTCTCTGGGTGTATCTCTTCAGTGTAGAAGCAGGGACCTGTCCCGTTGAGCTGGAACTCCTCAGCACCCAAACATGGACGACCGTCCAGATGGAACTCCTCAGCACCACTCTGGGTGGGCTGTGGATGCAAGCCCAATGTCTCTTCCGGTGCCCGGATCGGATCTCCTTGCTTGCTGCAGGCAGGCAGCCTATTGAGACAATGGAGCCACCACCGTCCCGGTTGCCCTCCTGATTCGGATTCGGTCCCAGCGCCTGAACAGGATGAGCTGGGAGATGTTACGTGGTCAAAGAGGGGAGGGAGTCAGACAGAGAGGGGGAGGGTTGTGGATGCAAGCTGGGTGGGATAGGAAGAGAGAGGAGGTATCGGGCAGTATAGCCTTGCAGGATGACCAGGAAGTGTAGGAGGGATGAGGAACGTCTGAGTTCCCTGTCCAGGGCTGCTGCCACCATCAGAAACTCACTCACCCCAGTGATGTCTCTCCTGGTGCCCAGATCGGAACTCTTTGCTGCTCGGGTGGCTTGTAAACAAAGGGCCTACCTTGCTTGTTTCAGGCAGGCTATTGAGACAAAGGAGCTATCACCTTTCCGGTTGCCCTCCCGATTAGGGAAACTGTATTCTTTGAAACACTGCTTGGCCCATTAGCTCTAGCCTCTTACTGGCTAACTCTCACATCTTGATTAACCCATATCTAATAATCTGTGTAGCACCACGAGGTGGTGGCTTACCAGTAAGATCTTAACCTACGTTCTTCTTTGAGAGGAGAGGGATGGTGACTGCCTGGCTTGGCTTCTTTCTCCCAGCATTCTGTTCTGTCTACTCTGCCTACCTAATTTTCTGTCCTATTAAAGGGCCAAGGCAGTTTCTTTAACCAATGAAATCAACACAAAACAGAAGACTCCCACATCACATAAAACTTTCCATAGCCTATCCTCTATTGTCTGATATTTCTTGTTTTCCTCTTTCTGCAAATTTCCTTTTTGTCCTTAAGAGGATGAGAAGTTCAGTTAACCTCAAATAAATGCCTAAATTTGGGCTGAAACTCCTTAAGGCCATGAATATAATCATTTTTTTGTACATTCCTGGGTTTGAGATCACAAATCCCATCATTAGTCATCTTGTAGCATAAGTCATTATTTCAAATACACTAGAATTTTCCAATGACAGAAAGCTCAGGAATAAAATTTCTTCCTTTTCTATATATTTTTAGTATTAACTTGCTCTAAAATGTATGCAAAACTTTACTCTCAATCTGAATCTACTCTTGGGTCTATGATTAATTTGTTCAGTGTAAAGTCTCAATTTCCCACTGTGTGTGTGTGTGTGT